AAAAAAAAAAAAAGCGAAGCAGTCGTCGGCGGGACTCGAACGCACGCCGCCGGCGCAAAAATGTATCGACGGGAGCCTTAGTCGGCTCAGCTACGCCGCTTACTCGAAAAAGATTCTAATGTTCTTCTTTACATGGGACATAGTTGCGTGACCCTAACTTTGTTTTGTAATTTCTCCTAAACGAAGGCCCATTGGCACAAACGCCTTTAGGGTTTTTATTAGCTACATGTAAGCTATCGAACGCACTATGACTCGTTGGAAAAGCGATTTCCTAATTGGCGTCATCTCCTTGTAAGTCAATATTTGATAATATTAAATTTCAACGTCTACAAGACATTACAATTGAGCGGACATTAGTCGTTTCGACAATGTCTTTTCAACATCGAATTTACATTTCATAATGTTGATGCAACATTGCAATGTCGCAACGCAACGTTTCTGAAATGTTGATTCAACGTTTATGTGCTGTATGGGATTGTGAATGTTGGACCATCAGATAGGCGCATGCACGAGATTTTTGTACATATTTTTCGGCGTTATATATTGACAACCTGACCAAAACAGGTACGTGGAATCCATGTCCCTATCACGTGGATCATCGATGTTGGCATCCACGTGGAACATCGAATGGATCATCCGCTCAAAAACGGTACTAGAATCCACGTGGAAAAAAAAGTAAGTATCCACGTCGAATCCACGTAATTTATATGAATCACGTAGATGGGCATTTAGCCAGTAAACGCTAAATATTCCTGGAATATTTATGAAATATTTCTAAAATTCAAAATTAACATTCCAAGAATATCCCAAAATATTCCGGAATATTCATAGAATGTATAAGGAATATTCAAATAAACGCAGAAAGTTCTACTTTTTTATAAATATTGGCGAATTAATTGAAATAAAAATCAGTCAGCGTGTGCTGACTTTACTTGAAATTTAAGATTACTTGATTTCAAATGTTACATCACACTTAAAAATTCTCACCAACACTGGGATTCGAACTCGGACCTGAGGCACTTTTGGATTATGAGCCTTTTGCTTTAGACACTACACCACTTCTTCGATCGATATAAACGTCTTATATTTTGTTTATATATGTTGCAATTAACGCAGTAATATAATTTTTTTATAATATGATTTAATTTTAATAAAAATTATATTTTTCGTACTTTTATTGTTAATTTAAATCTTAACTAATGAAGTGAGGTCTACAAAACATCACATATTCCATTTCGGTCTTAAAATTTTTATAATAAAAATTTTTTTATTGCTGTTATTAAATAGACAAAGTCTATTAATATAAGTCTATTAATAAGAGATTATAAAATTGGAATGATTGTAAAAGAGCACAATTAAAAAAGGGAAAAAGTCCATCTTACTATATAAAATTTAATTTAATTTAATTAATTAAATTTATATATAAATATATAAATCAACACTTATTATAAGGAGTACCTGTCTAATGCAACCCTACTATATGATAAATGAAATTAGCTAATAATAGTAATTTCTCACGAATTTTCAGAATATCTCAAGTAATGATTTGCAAAATATTCATTATAATAAATTTCTAAGGAATACTTTAGAATAAATTAAACTCGGATAATTCTTTGGATGTTTATTTTTTAATTCTTTAGATGCTTTTTAAAATTCTTTATGATCCTTTATTCATCTCTGTGCAATTTGGGTTGAATATTCCTTATTGTACATACAAATAGTATTCATAGGCAAATTTTATTTCAAGACTGTCTTAAGTAATGTCTTAAGATGCGAATACGGCTCTATGATTGGTATATGACATCTTAAAACAGTATTTAAGATGATCTTAAATATAAGATCGGACTACGAATATCGACCATAGAATATTCTGAATATTCCACAATTATTTGAACCTTCTGTGTGAATATTTCTTTAATATTCTGGTATATACGGAACTTCTGGAATACAAACGGAATGTTTTAACTTAACTTTAACTTTTACTATCCACGAAATATCGACATGGATGCAACGTTCACATGCTTTCGATAAATTGAAGTATTTCACCCTCGAAATATTAACGTAAATTCAATTGTTTTACTAAGAAAGTCTCCAATAAAACAGTAAAATTTATGTTGATATTTCGACGATAAAGTATTTTGATTTGATGATAAAGAAAATTATTACATCATATAAACACAGAGAAACATATTTCTTTAAATTTAATTTTTTTATTTATTTGTGAGTGATTTTGATTTTTTTTAAATAAAACTATATATTCTTATACGAAATATTAAAGAAACAATACCCTAATAGCACAAATATCTAGGAAACGTCCAGAGTACGTCCTGAGAACGTTTCTACGTCCTCAGAACATTTGTGGGATGTCCTCAGGAAATTTTGTGCTATATGGATATTCTTTAGTGAAAAAGATATTGTTTGTAGTGACATATCAACAAAAACAAATACGTTATATACACGAATTTACGTAATTGTGGACTACGTGGATAGACATAGCATGATTTGATGAATTATTCAATATATAGCGTAATGAATCATTATAATCTGTAGCCAATATAATCTGTAGTTGCAGTCAATTGCAATTTACGCAATTGAGATGCTCTTTTATTATTATAAAAGCTGTACTGCCCAGATCGAACAACAAATTACGATGACGTCAAAATAATGTTAAAATGAGGAAATGACTAAAAAATTCACTATTCAACTACAATTCGATCATTTTTCTACTCATTTTGGCGTCATTGTATTCGTTTGTTTTATTTGAGCATGGGGATATGACTAACATGAAATCTACGTTCATATTTCGAAGATGAAATCGAGGACAAATGAATGTTGCACCTATATCGATATTTCGTGGATAAACGTCCATCCACATATTTCACGTAAATTACGTGGATTCGACGTGGACATAACGTACCTGTTTTTGTCGGGAAGGCAACATAGGCAATCCGAAAATTCAAAAAATTCTGAAACATTGTGTGCAAGTAGAGTAGTTCATTTATAACATAAAATTATTTTTGTTTCTGCTAAATTTTAGTTTAAGGGGGTGAAGCTATCCCTCAAAGAAACATAACATTTATATTTTTAGCTAATATTTCTTAAAATACAAAAGGCATATGAAAAAATGGTTTATATAAAAGTTGTAGAATATTTTATACTACTTGTAACGGTGTATTCAAATTTTGCAAAAATGAAAATTTTTTAAACTCCCCTTCCCCCACTCATTATCTTTACAGATTTTTAATTTCTTATTAGGACAGAAATAAAGAGCATCGAATACTAAATCCATCCATATACAACACTAGAAAATTGTCGCGATTAAATTTTGGAAAAACGAGATAATAACATAGAACTATATGCGGCGCGCTATGGATAGGCGTTTTTGAGTTGAGCTATTAGGTACAACTTTGCTTCCGCCGTTTTCTGGCGATGGCTTTAGCGGTAAGTGGTGGTCGAAATAAATAGATTATAGACGTCATACAATAAACTTGGGCATCTGTCAACATAACCCCATAGAAACATTAGTCGATTTGTGTCTGCATCATAAAGTTATTCTCGATTGAAAATGTCAGTTTACGAGCCAAATTCTCGTCATTTGCGGGAGGTTTTAATTTTCTGCTTCAATATGAAGAAATCTGCGGCTGAGGCTCATCGAATGCTCTCAAATACTTATGGTGAGGCCGCTATTAGTGAAAGAACGTGTCGTGAGTGGTTTCAACGCTTCAAGAACGGTGATTTTGACATCGAAGACCGGCATAGCGGTGAAAGAGAAAAAGTTTTTGAAGATGTAGAATTGGAGGCATTATTTGATCAAGACTCGTGTCAAAATCAAGAAGAATTGGCACAATCATTGAGACTGACTCAACAAGCCATTTCAAAATGCCTCAAAGCCATGGGAATGATTCAGAAGCAAGGAAATTGGGTGCCGTACGAATTGAAGCCGAGAGATGTTGAACGGCGTTTGTTTGCTTGTGAACAGCTGTTTGAAAGGTAAAGACGGAAGGGATTTCTGCATCGCATTATGACTGGGGACGAAAAATGGGTTCATTACGATAACCCCAAGCGCAGAAAATCATGGGGAATTCCCGGCCATGCTTCCACGTCGACAGCCAAACCGAATATTCACGGCTCCAAGGTCATGCTCTGTATTTGGTGGGACCAGCTCGGCGTAGTATATTATGAGCTGCTAAAACCGACTGAAACAATCACAGGTGATCGGTATTGAACGCAATTGATGCGTTTGAGCCGAGCATTGAAAGACAAACGGCCGCAATACAACGAGAGACACGATAAAGTGATTTTGCAGCATGACAATGCTTGACCTCATGTTGCGAAAGTGGTCAAGACATACTTGGAAACGTTGAAATGGGAAGTCCTACCCCACCCGCCGTATTCTCCAGACGTTGTCCCTCTGACTATCACTTGTTTCGATCAATGGCACACGGCCTGGCTGATCAGCACTTCCGGTCTTATAAAGAAATAAAAAATTGGATCGATTCGTGGATCGCCTCAAAAGATGACCAGTTTTTTCGACGCGGGATTCGTACGCTGTCCGAAAGATGGGAGAAAGTAGTGGCCAGTGATGGACAATACTTTGAATTATAAATGTATAATCAGTTTTTTACAATAAAGCCTCGAATTTCGGAAAAAAGAAAAACGGCGGAAGCAAAGTTGTACACATAATATACTCGATAATTGCCTCTTGTATATGTTTTCTTATACCGCAAGAAAATGAGAACTTAATTCTAATGATTAATTATATGCAATGTATTAGATGAGGTATGAACGTAAACAGAGATTAATTTGTTTATATATCAATAGCAACTTTTGTATGTTCTTTACTTCTTCCCTATATATTTCAATCGTTCTCGAAACAAAATTCACTTAACGTGTAAAACTCTGTCGATTTATTTTATATATTGTCACGTTCTCGCGGGAGCGTTCCAATTGACTACAGTACGATTGGACACCACCAATCGATGAAAAGAATTATGTAGTGAATTACCAGATCGAACCAATTATTATAATCTGTGTCCAATCGTACCATGGTCAATCGGATCCCACTCGTTCCCGCGAGGTTCCGCGAGACGCATGACGGGAGCGGCTCCGCCGTGCTGGGTTTCAAGTGGTCGAGCGTCGAGTATCCGTAAGAGCTAACCCTTATGGGGTGTTTTCGCACTGATTACCGGGATTTTTGAGTGTGAAAGAGAGGATGAGGAAATGGAAAGGTAATAAAGATAGAAGGTAAAGTATAATTAATGAAGCGGTTTATTAGGAAAGCTATTCGAGATGGCAACGCTGTACAATGGAGACGCGCTCGTTGTACTCACGCTTAACAAGATGCTGAGTATAATATGTGGCGAGACTTACTTTTATGGCGATATACGAGCTAGTACTGACTACAGAATCCGGCACTTTACGAGAACGGGCGAAGCACACTAA